CTTTTGAAAGTTCTTGCCTCATACCATTAAAATTTGCCTTACTCCAATCAAGAAATTTCAACTTTTATGGAAGACTAATCTTTTTCCACAACCATTTTGAAACAAATAGAATTATGATTCCTAGACCCAAGTGTTCCTCCACTTTGACTTCAGTCACCTGCCCTGCCTTATTGCTCAAAAGAAAGTTTAGTTCTACTCTTTCTCAAATCGGAGCTCCACATGTTGATACAGAAAAAATTCTTGAATACGTTTATCAAATTCTTCACCATCTAAACCTTTAACACTTTAGTAGCCCCAGTCAATGTTTGGAAAAATTAAAATCCCTAGATTTTGCATTCTGGCACAAAAACCTGATGTGAACATTACTCAAAGCTACAAACTGCAAGAGATTTCAAAGCAAAACTGAATTAAAAATAAATAAAGAAAGACAAGAACCCAGTACTATTTGTGGTGTATGCTAATGCATTTATCTCCTAAATTGGTATTTTCAAGTATGGTTCTTATGGGCACTGAAGTGTTCAAAGTGAATCTCGAAGTTTTGCCAGTTTCATTTGATTTAGGAAAAAATAATACATAATTCAGAAAAACTAGAGTCCACCTATCTAAACATTCTTCTGACTACTCATACTGATGAAAAAAATGCAATTCTTAACATATGCCTGAAGAATTAGGTCCATGTGAATTTCAAACCTGACATTTAAGCAACAAATTTACACAATATTTAGAGACTTGAAAAATTTAAGATGTCTATAATTGATTTTTGTCACTGCTTAATAGAAGAGTTGTGTAGCTTTTGCACCATTTAATTAAGGCTCCAATTTGTAAAGATTCCAATTTAAAATATAATCCATCTTAAAATACCTCCTGGAATCACACTAGTCACAGACACAATTTTTTTTAGCTAATAATATATTGGTGTTTTTTCATGGTTAAATTTAAAATTAGCTTGATATAAATGTCAGAGTAAAGGATGTTACAATTGCTTTATCTTTTGATAGAATATATATAAAAGTATAACAGAACTAGCATTACACACATCTTAACAATATTCTTTCATTCATTTTAGTGTAGTTTTCAAATACTGACACAAAGTGACATGTAAAAATGACCTTCAATACAATTAGATCCTGGAGGACTGCTGCAAAAAGACATTTTGTTGAAACTTTCTGTCTTGTACTCATCAGGATCATTTGCCAAAAATACTCAAGGAAAGAGAAATCCATATTGATACTGAATTCAGAGGAAAGTGCTGATTGAGAAATCCTACCATTCTAGGGTAAACCAAAAGGTTTCAGCAACAGATGAAGCTAGCCACTATATGGCGCCAACATGATGGGCTTCACCACTAACACAATGCTGTCATCAAGCCAGAAAGACGTTGTGCCCATCACAAGGATGAGTAATTTAGTAAATGGAGGATGCTGACTTTACAGACCGCACGTGCAAAGTCTGGCAGATTGTATCAAACAGCATATCCATTCAGCTGTCGACAATAAATAAGGTATGAACATATCCAACCAGCCTAGGCTTGCAAAATTCACAACACTGTCCAATATTAGGTGTCCTTCCACAACTGGACAACATTTGTCAAATAATCAAGTTTGTGAAGAAATATGGTAACATTTTTGGATGGTCAGCTGTGCTTGCAGTTTCTAATACTTGCATGTACTGGAACCTATAGACATGTATTGATTCACGTAATCATTTCCTTCAAAACAAAATGAGCATGCATATACAAATGCACCTGCTCCAACTCAACATAGCAACAGCCACCCTGGTTAATTTCCCAGATCAATGCCTTTTCCTAACAGTGTCATCCACATGGCTTAAAATTTATGTAAAGTTGGACAGTTAACGGTCAGTCATCATTAATTAGTGCATTCCACTTGCCAGTCAATATTCTTTTCACAAAGCAAAGATGTTGGGTTCCCTTTACATTGATATTTCTCATACATTGTTCTGATGAAAGCAAGATGAAAAACATTCACAAAACATGACTTTTCAGCAAGTCATATTCTGTACTACCAACTATTTCCAATTAAGAGGATTCATTATAAAACAGCTGAAGCAATTTGAAAGGGAAATAATGTGATCAGTATGTAGTCAATAACACCGAAAAAATGTCAAAGGACTGGTAACGTACAAAATTAGCAAAACCATGACAAACAAAGCCTAGAATTTAACAACCATTATTCAGATTGGCTTGAAGTTCAATTGAATTTCCAAATGTTCATATTTACTTTCCTTTGAAATAGCGAGTCACTTTTATTACATTTCAATTCTGCTAAATAGAATGTGAAATGATCATATGTAGCTCATTTTATATTCTTTTGCAGTGTCCCAAACATCACAAATGAACTTGTAATGAACATTTCTTGCGCAAGGTAATGACTGAATCTGGAGGTATTTTAAGAGTTGATGATATTGATCTTCATATAACTGGAGATAAAGAAAGCTATTTTAAAGATGACATACAAAGATTCTCAACTAGGGGGAGGCAATGGCCCAGTCATTATTGCTGGACTGTTAATCCAGAGACCCAGATAACATTCTGGTGACTCAGGTTCGAATCCTACCATGGCAGATGGTGGAATTTGAATTAAATAAAATATCTGGAATTAAGAATCTAATGATGACCAAGAATCCGTTGTCAATTGTTGGAAAAACCCACCACCTGGTTCACTAATGTCCTTCAGGGAAGGAAACTGCAATCCACATCTGGTCTGGCCTACATGTGACTCCAGACACACAGCAATGTGGTTGACTCTGAACTGCCCTATGGGCAATTAGGATGAGCAATAAATGCTGCCTAGCCTGCGACGCCCTCATCCCCTGCAAGAATAAAAAAAAAACTAATGACCGTAAAATTAGCACATGCCCTTGGTTGCCATCACCGAGTAACAGATTTCTTTCTTGGGATGTCCAATTAATATGAAAAGAAGGAGGAAAGTTTCATTACACAATTCACATCGCAGTTCCAAAGGGCATCTAGCCATGGAAGTAGAAACAAAAGATTATTTGCAAGATCACTGGATTGGCGAAATAGATAACATGGACGATCTAGCTCAGTGGCAAAGATGCTAAGTCCTGCCCTAGGTCTTGTCAGTCAAAGAAAATGTATTCCCACCATGGCCAGACAGTTTGAATATTTACCTGGAAATCCTTCCAGCACACACCAATAGAAAGCAGTAAGGGTGGAGAAATTCCTTATCAGCCATACCATAGAAACATTTTTGGCCATCAACTATTACTATCCATAGCTCCAATGTACAAAATGCATGCAGAAGTATATGCTTCCACAGCAACTTAGACTCACCAAATGAGACGCAACACCCCAACACTACAGGATTACACCAAATGATGAACATGGAATAACACTGGGTGTCTGTTACAATGCAGCCTTTTGTAAATTTGACATTTGTTGTTTCTTGTTATTATGAGGGCACTAAAGAATTAAATAAAGCAGTTGCCCATCTGTTTTAATGATGATTCTTCATCATATAACTGTATAGTATTGTAGAAGTACTCTTATGCTTTCAGGTATTTTTAATTTACTGACTAACAAGTTCAAACAAAATATTTTAGTGGTGATATAATTTGTAAAATGATTCAGAGAAAAGTTTTTGGTAACTATTAACATAAAAAGAAGCACAAAATATTATCCCAAGGTATTTTTGAGATTAGTTAGAATTCATTTTTCATTCAGAGAAATAATAACGCACTTTGGGGTTAAAAATTAAATGGAAAGACCTACAATTGACCGAAAAATCAATTGCTGAAATAGGAAACAAAAAAGAGCTGGAAATTCTGAGTACATATAATTATTTAGAACAAACATACAGGCAGATAAATATTCAACTGTAAAATATGCCAGATACGACAACATGCAACACTTTTTAAAGTCAATGGCGAAAAGAAAAATCAATAAGTATGCATTTCCTAATAAATTCTCCAAAGCTCTTTTCAAAAATACTTTTTTCCCCTTATTCAGTAATCAAGGATATGCAAAAAATACAAACAGCACAAGTATTATCGTAAAACAGCCCCTCAAATTGCTGTGCGTATCATGCTTCCATTCTGACAGCAGTACCATACGAATACAGTCTCCTGCATGAGGAATGCAAACCTTGTTATTGTCACTGAAAAATCTTTAGTATCATTAACTATTTCCAATTATTTGCGTAGCACCATTCCTTATTTGATTGCTCAGCATAGCTATAAGTGTTAGGGGTTTTCAGTTAAAGGGTAGGTATTTTACAGTTACCTAGTAATCACACTGTTCTTATAGCCTAGAAAAAGAAACTGCAAAATGGCTAGCAAAATTAAATGTTACACCATATTTAAAAAAAGCTGTGGCATTTATGTTCTTTAGCAACCAATTTTATATAACAAATAAATACATGCTAGCTTCATATAAACTGCATTCATTTACTTCAATACATATCTCTTCCAAACTGACAGGTCCTCAATAATTTGAAATTTACTAATAGTTTCTAGATGTTTTAGAAGAGGCCAAAAAAGTTTAGATAATTACATGCCTGGAATCACCAGCAAATAGCTTCTCAAAATAGGATAATAAAAAGGTATGATAAACCAAAAAGAGTTTTAAAATATGAAATTCTCAGGTATGTGCATTTTTAAAAATCCCAATTCAGAAAAATCCATGTTGAACAGTGGGGCACTTGCGTAGAAATAAAACGAGTTTAAGAAAATGTAAAGGAATATTAAGAAAAAGTTGTTCGTTGCTTTTTTTCTTTGAATAAATCTCAAACTCTGATGTTATGAGGAGAAAGAAACAACTTTAAAGTCTGGCAGCACTTGCAAATTTGCAAGAAATATTACTTTTCTCACCTCTTCTCTACACTTCCCCAGTTTCTCTACAGAACAGTGGAATTAAAATAGCTCATGATAGGGTTAATTCTGAATCTGTTGCCCTTAAAGTAATGAGTCCGGCCCAATAAAACTGTTTATTTGCTTTGTGGCCCAAATTGAATACATACCAATCTTTGATTTAAACGTTTATTCTCCTCTTCTTTCATTTGTAATGTCTACAAGCAAGCAAAATAAATTCATTTTTTTAAAATTGGTAGCACATTTGACATAAAACTTAGAATTTGTTAATTAATTGATTGGCAAGTTAGAAGTACTTGTGTTAAAAGTTAAAATGCCACCATCAGATACCAGCAAAGAGTTTAAATAAGTTACATTCAAATTACATTTTTTTCTTAATTCTTTTCCCTTAATATATGTAAACAAGCAGCAGTAACAGGTGAATTACACAAACTTTTTTTGGCAATGTTGAGGTCACATGCATTAGAATGTGCTTCAAGTAGTAATATTCAACTTGGTCAAATATTAGAACTTTGGAAGATTTTCCCATATTTAATTCAATTACATACTGTACGAACTTTACTTCACAACATTGGTGCTGACATGATGGGTCAAGCAGCCCCTTTTTTGTGTTGTAAATTTTCAATGATTTTGCAGTCAATTATAAGCTGTGAAAAACACGATGCAACTTCAGACATCATTGAGACATGAAGCAGTTGAGGAAAATTTAACTTGAAAATATACAAAAATATAATTTATAGGACAAAAATAGATGAATGGAAACACTGAACAACACCAACTAGAGAAAGGTATAATTAAAAAGAATATAGCTAACTATCCCTAATGAAAACAGTCTGAACATCTTCTGAATGGTTTTGACAAGGTGGAAGTGGAACGGTCATTTCCTTCTGTGGGCAACTCCAGAACTAGGATTTAAAGTTAGGAGTTGCCCTTTTAGGACTGAGATAAGGTGGTTCTCTCTCTATAGAGGATCGTACAGTTTTGGAATTCTTCAACTCAGATGTTAGTAAAAGTGAGGTCATCGAATATTTTTAAGACAGAGGTAGACAGGCCCTTGTTCATCAATCAAATGGAAAGTTATGGGGGTAGATGGGAATGTGGAGTTTGCAGAGGCATTGTGGTAATGTTCTGGGAACATGGGTTCCAATACCACAATGGCAGATGCTGACATTTTAGTTTGATAAATGAAATCTGAAATTTAAAAAAGCTTCAAAGTGACTACTGATTGTTGTAAACACTCATGTGGTTCACTAATGTCCTTTTGAGAAGTAAATCCATTATCCTTACATGGTATGGCTTAAACACAGACCCACAGCAATGTGACTGACTCATAAATGCCCTCTAGGCCAAATGCCCACATTCAACAAATGAATAAAACAAAACAGATCAGCCATGATCTTAACAAATCGTGGAGCTTTGTATGATTTCTCGCATTATATGAACAAACAAAATCTTGCCCTATTAGAACAATTTATGTATAGCAAATGCAGGAAATGACATCTCTTCTTTCAGTTAAAAGTAAATGTCCAATAATTATTTTCCAAGTCATTGGTTAGACTAATACATAACAATAAAGTAAATGTGAAACCAAGAAAAAAAATAAATGCTTATTCAGGAAAGAATAGAAATGTTTTAATGTTGCATTTACAGCCCAAAGAGTACCCAAAAAACACACTTCAGCCAACAAATTATTTTGAAATGTAATCCCTGCTATATCAGTAAACATAGCAGAAAATATACGTATAAAGTCATCGCAAACAGTAACAACAGGAATGACAACTATAAGTATTTTTTGTTGTTGTGCGTTTAAGGCTACGTATTGTCCAGAAGACTAAACATTCGAGGACCAACTGCTCCTTTCAACAGTTAAGTTTTGTTCATAACTCTTTGTAGGAACTCCCATAAACAAGGCAGGAAACAGATGGTTATGTGTAAAACAATGCTGCTTTTGATCAGGATTGTTCAAATTGGATCTCAAGTTGTACATTTTTTTCGAAAAGGTCCTATTGGCAAAATGTTAGCTTCAGTTGTGCGTAAGATTAACAACATTAAGAACATAAAGAGAGGCGTTGATTACACAATCAGGAATGGAATGTTGAACCTTTAGAAAACTCTGGACAGGCACGTAAGGCATTAAGTTCTGGTCACTGTGCTTCAAGAAAAATGCCAAGGTCCTCGAGAGATTGATCAGAATGGATCTACGTGTTGAAGTGGATGTGGTTTTGTTACGACATTAGATTGGAAAGGCTGGCATTGTTCTCTTTGGAGACAGGAAATTGTGCAGGATTTGATAAAGGGCTTAGATAAGGTCGAAGATGAAATGGGTGGAACAACTGTTTTACATTGTGTGGAAACAACCTGAAATTCAGTGTCTACAAGGTTGGTAGAAGGGAAAATACAGTCCTGTCCCATTTTGCATTGCTTATGTCATTGAAAACCCTCACTAATTATAAAATTTACAAATGACAAACATGTTATAATGACAGCCACTGAATAGGTTCAAACATTTGCTAGACTGGTCAGTGATTTTCACGATTTTTATTCTTTTATCAATTTTTGTTTGGAGCTGGAAATTGGGAACAGAGCTAAAGAGGACTTATTGACATTGGATAATAGTTTGGGTTAACAGACCAAACTTTTGTTTATTTGAGAGGCTAGGCCTGGAAGGTAATTGCAGGTTGGCTCCTGATCAAAAGCTTCTGCAGATACTTCATGAGAGAAGAATATTGTGTTTAAACAGATAGCAGAAATTGGCTGTTAATGAGGTGAGTACCTATGAATTGGTTACAGCATGTCTGGAAAAGACCTTATGCTCAAGCAGTAGGCAGATGTTGAATGGTAACAGGGACTTTGTGGAAGAGACGGTTAGTCTGTCAGGGAGTGGTAAGAGTTTGAATTAAGTTTTGGACTGTTTTCTGAGAAGGAATCTGGCTGATAGTGTTACAGTATAGAGGTTTGAAAGCTCCCTGCCTAACATGCCCTGAGCAGCTCTTAGAAACTCAGAGAATAGTAAGCTAGGTTATAAGTATTACGATGTTCACCTGGGTGAACTATAAGGGTGACTGATCAATATTTTCAGAAAACAAAATCAACCAGGAAACCATCACCTATGCTTGTGTAACAACACATCATGAAAACCACTTAAGTAATCTGGCCGGTTGTGTTATTTTGTTTTATTTAAAGCTTAACTTGTTTGTCTTTTGTGTGAATGGGGGTGAAAACAAAGGTTTGCTTTGTTGTTTTATTTTACTGTTCTGAAGTTATATAGTCTTGTCCACAAATTGCTAAATCTTTTGCTCAAGATATAAATCTGTGTCTGGAATGATTATTCACAAGAGACTGGGATTGTTGATTCAAAAGTCTGGTTAGGAACAATTGGGGTCAATTTTAAGGATCTCTGAAGATTGTATTTGCAACACAGTAAAATTACAGAGGGAGAAAGGCCGATTGGATTTGACTGATTCTCTGTGCCGTATTACATTCAAAATTTTCATACACAGTAGAAGGTAAAATTCAAGAGCAATGTTTTTACAAAATACAAAGATGTTCTACTGGAGAAATAGTGCAATAAATAAGTATGAAATTTATCGCACTGGCCTTTATTATGGCAGAGATATAGAAATAGATGCCGAGACTGTCACGTCTGATCAATTTGATTGAATAAAAAAAAGTGACCAGATGTGTAGACGAGGGTGACATTTCTTTTTAAAATGGGATAAGTGAATCACTGGGTAATAAATGCTGGCCTAGCCAAAGGGCAGTTAAGAGTCAATCCTATTGCAGTGGGTATGGAGTCACATGTAGACTAGACGAGTTTTTCTGACAATCGACAATGGCTTCACGGTCATAATTAGACTCTTAATTCCAGATTTTTATTGAATTCAAATTCCAACATCTGCCACGGCAGGATTTGAACCTGGATCCCCAGAACATTACCTGCGCCTCTGGAATAACAGTCCAGCAATAATACCACTAAGCTGTTGCCTCCCCTACCTTTAATGTAGTCCACTTGGAGTCATAGAATCATACAGTACAGAAACAGACCCTTTGGCCCAACTCATCCACACCAACCAAGTTTCTGAAACCAAACTAGTACCATATACCTACATTTGGCCCACATCCTTCTAAACCTTTGAGTCATTTACTAGTCCAAATGGCTTTTAAACATTCTAGCTGTATTCAGTCAATTCAGTCCTAAATCTGCTCCCTCTAATCTTGAGGCTATGCCCTCTTGTCCTAGCTTCACCTGCCAGTGGAAACATCCTCTCTACTTCTATCTTATCTATTCCCTTCATAATTTTATATGTTTCTATAAAGATCCCCCCTCAATCTTCTGAATTCCAATGAATATAATCCCAATCTACTCAGTCTCTCCTAAGCCAACCCCCTCAACTCCGGAATCAACCTAGTGAACCTCCTTTGCAGCCCCTCCACTGCCAGTACATCCTTTCTCAAGTAAGGAGACCAAAACTGCACACAGTACTCCAGGTGTGGCCTCACCAGCACCTTGTACAGCTGCAACATAACCTCTCTGCTTTTAATCTCAATCCCTTTAGCAATGAAGGACAAAATTCCATTTGCCTTCCTAATTACTTGTTGTACCTGCAGACTTACCTTATGTGATTCATGCACAACGACACCCAGGTCCCTCTGCATTGCAGCACGCTGCAACTTTTTACCATTCAAGTAATAATCCTTTTTACTATTACTCCTACCAAAATGTATGACTTCACATTCGTTCCATGTACGCACCACCCTCTGTGAAAGAAAGTTGACCCTCAGGTCCCTTTTACATTTTGGACTCCCTGTCCTGGGGAAAAGACCTTGGCTTTCACCTTATCTATGCCCCTCATGATTTTATAAAGGTCACCACTCAGCCTCCAACACTCAGGGAAAAATGCTCCAGTCTATCCAGCATCATAGAACTCAAACTCTCCAGTCTCAGTAACATTCTTGTAAATCTTTTTTGCACTTTTTGCAGTTTGATAACATCCTTCCTATTACAGGGTGATCAGAAGTTATATGCAGTACTCCAAATGTGGCCTTAACAATGCCTTGTATAGCATTAACATGACATCCCAATTCGTAATCAAATGCTCTGACCAATGAAGGCAAATGTACCAAAGACCTTCCCCTCACCATCCATCTGGGACGCCACTTTCAAGGAACTTTGTACTTGCATCTCTCTGCTCAACAT